CACACATATGAATTGATCGACAAAGGAGTTCCAATTTTTCTAGATTCGATTTCCAAATTTGGTAATAATCCTGACTGAATTAAAAATTTCTAATTCATGTCACATGAAGTTTTTTAAAATCTCTTGTTATTTTTATAATAAGTTCGAACTTTATTGTTAGAGTAAAATGAAAGTACTCCATTAAAGCTTCCTAATTAATACTCTTTCATATTGAAAGGTCTTCTCTATATAAATCTATGACTATTCAAAAATGGTGTTACTTTTTCACTTCAAAGCTCAGATTATTTTTCAATATCACTTTAAAAGACCTTATAGTGACTGAAGAGGTGTAAAATACTTTAAGCTTTCATATGGTTATTACTTTATGGGGGATGCTAGTCAATAAGTTTTAGAGAGGTTTACAAAAAACTATTTTATAGAAATTTAACAGTCATGTCAAAATTAATTTTGCAATCTTTTTTTTACAAAATGGCAAATATTAGCAAAATCAAAATTCAACTAAACATTGCATTTGAAGAATATGAAAAAGTGAAAGAGAAGTTGGAAAAATGGAAGGAAGAGAATGTAAACAGGTTGAACAAGTTGAAAAAGAAATTGAGGAAAAAGGAGTATGGAGATAACAAAGAAAAAGAAGAGTTGGTGGAAGAAAGGAAGAGTTGATGGAAGTAAAAGAGAGATTGGAGGAGGACAAGAAGGACAGGTGGAAGCAGGTTGAGTATTTACAATGTGCATTTGCTGATATTGGAAAAGAAAAAGGTAATGACCAAATTGTGTAAAAATATACAAAAAATTATTTTTTGTTCATTCAATTTTATTTATTTATTTATCTGTTTTTATACTGTTTACAAGTCAGTTAGACTTGTGTTTTTTTTTTTGCATCTCTTCATGATTCATGCATGTTATTTTTGTTTTATTTATTATATACTTCTTTTATTCTTTATGTCACTCATTTCAAAAGGTAAGAATTAATGTTATTTAATTAAACAAACTTCATAGATGCAGTAGAATCAATATACTTATTTTTTTCAACACATTACAATTTCACTTAAATGCATTTTACATGTTGATTCTTCTTTTCTTTGCAGTTCTGCTAAAAGGTTGTCTAAGATACTGTCTTTATTCTACATTTTCTATTTAACCTTTAATTACCTATTTTGAAGTATACTATTCATAACATTGGCTGACTTTGTTTTTTTTTTACCATTCAATCCTACTAAACTTTTCTATGAATACACCAACCTACACTGCTATTAATTCTGTTTAGGCAATTTAATAAGTACATCTAGAATTATTAATACAAAATTTTCTCAATTTATGATACAAAAATGCCATATGTCAATTTGTTACATTTTCTCTTTCAGTTTTTTTTTTTTTTGCAAAAAATGTTATCTATTCAATTTTTTTAGATAATGAGTTAGAAACACATATATTTGATTCAATTATTATAGATGTTTTACTTGGTTTTGAGAAGTTGCAATCTTTACACACAAAGAAATTTATAGAAAATCATCCATTGCTAAAAAACAACATCATTCCAGTGGTAAAGCTGATATGCAGTATTTTCAACCCAAAATTCAAGGTGCAATTTCAGAATTTTTTTACATGTTTTGAAAAATGCTTAATTTTGATATAATCTATGAAAATTAGGTCAAAGGACTTTAATAGAATTTGAAAAGTTTAAAAAAGTTGATTACAGAAGATATAAATGATCCTGTGCCAAAATTAGCTGCATTGGTTGGAGTTTCAGGTAATCAATGTATATGTATATAAATTACTTATCTTTAATGTTAATTATTTGTTTCAATTTAAATGAAAGGTTGTGGAAAAACAGCCACAATATTTGATGCTGGACAACACAACTTTATTACTTATATTGTTACTCCTCATCAAAATAGCCAACCATTGTATAGTCAAGACTTTCATCAGCTCCTTAATGATATCAATGCAATTCTCCCACAAGGTACTTCCCAACTTAGCTTCAACACTGAACATGATGTAATTACCTACATATTAGAACAACAAGGATGTGAAAATTGTATTAAGCCTTATATTAAAGCCTTTTTGATTGCCAGAAAGTTCACATGGTCAATACTTGTATAAAATTGATAAAAAGTTGGATACACTCATGTGACCTTACTATCAGGAAGATTCAAAGTTTGGTCATTTTTTTCACACTGTCTATGAAGCAATTAAAGAAATTACAGATTATGATGATGTTAATCTTTTGGACACATATTATCGTAAATTGGAAGCTCATTTTGAAAAAATAACAAATGATACAACAAGGTTTACCATTGCAATTGACGAATGTCATTGTTTGCAGAGATATTTTTGTAGGATCTTTCTTCCAAAATCAGTTAGACTGTTGAAAAATGATAATACATTTACTTGAGAGGGCCATAAATTTTTTCATCAGAATGTAAATATTTTCATGAAGACACAACAAAAACAAGAGTTTGAATGTCATTCAACACTTGAGCAAAAGTTAGTTCTTCCTATTATGTTATGGTCAATGCTAATGTCATCTGTTTACAGTAGTTGTTATGGGTACCAACATGGAACTCAGAGATCTTAGAAGGATAGATTCGATGGTTGCCAAATAATTCCGAGGATGTTGGAATTGAAAAGATAACAATATTTAGATCATTTACAGCTGATGACATTTTAAAACTCTTGAAAACATGTCTTAATCAAAACAGTTTGAGTAATAAATATATATCATCAGTTATTATATGTCATTCTGATGTTTTAATTTCATATAACAAGTCTATGCAAAGTGATACTGGAATATACAATTATTTTATATATCATTTTTGACATTAAATGTTCCCATATAATGTTTTTTGGGAACTGGCTATTTGCACATAAAATGATTATTTTAATTGAGGGTATTTCAATAATGATAATATTATTTATAAAAATAATGATAACTATAGTAATAATGTGGAATTAGATTCAATAAATTTGATAGTTAAATGATTTTTTTAAAAATTAGAGCCACAAAATCTTTTTTTTTGATCAATAAATTGTTTTTATAGAAACAAGGAATGTTTTTCGCCACCAATATTAAGTAAAGAATAATGTATCTCGTCAAGAAGAATAACTTCAACTTAAAAATCATGCCAATTATACTTGATAAAGTTGAGACATTTTCCTAAAATAATTTAATAATAAAATGGCAATTTAAATTGAATTGCTTGGCTGGAATTAAAATTTTAAGGAACCTAATTTCTTATCTGAACAGTAATAAAATGAATAATATCAAATTAAATCCAGTGTATTAAGTCGGCGTTTCGAATTATATTTCATGGAGAGACAGACATAAGAATAGCCTGGACGCAATCAAAAATTTGAATCATTTTATTTATTCCTGGGGGGTGGAAATAAGGATTGCCTTTATTTTTAAATTTAATGCCAATTCTGTTGATTTAGAAATGTTAATATTAATTAATATAATTAATATGAACTAAAAGTAATTTGAAATTAAATTATTCAAGTGTTTTAAAAATCTTTTGAATGGTATTTATTGTGGGAAAATGTTCTGATCACATGTTATATGTGGTGATAACTAAAATCCGGTTTAGCCTTTTCAATTCTAGTCATATAATAATAATGCGTGTTAGTTTAATCAGGCAACTCTTTCTAACCATAAACTAATTAATGAATACATTTCTGGTATATATAAATAAGATATTCTCATAATAATGGTATTTTTAAAAATTCCGTCGAAGTAAAATTTTCTTTTTTAAAAAAAAAAAATTGATAAAATACATAAATTTGGAGAATATGGATTCATCATTATTGTTAACCGAATACTTTAATGACTTTGAAAATTTGCTAGGTTCGGAGAATAAATTTGACGTAAAGATTAACATTGGTGAAGAACCAAACGTTAATGAGTTTCATGCACATTCGTCAATTCTGAGTGCGCGTTGTTCATTTTTCAAAGATGCTTTATCTGATGCAAGTAAACAAAACGGGTATTATGTGATTGAGAAGGCAAACATTAATGACTTGGTTTTCAAAATAATTTTAAAGTAGGTTGAAAAAAAAATAAATTGTAAATAATAAATTTAATTAATTAATTAATTATAATTTATTTTAAAAGTTTTTTGTATACGTGTAAAATAGAAATAAATGATTATACTGGGGTTGATATATTGGAATTATTAATTGCATCTGATGATCTTGGTCTTGAGTTACTTTACAATTATACAATGGAATACTTTATTAATAATCATCAAAATTATATAAGCGAAAATCCAGTTGGCATTCTACGATCAATTTATGATAACGAAAAGTTTGAACAATTAAAGGCTATTTGTTTGAAAGAAATTTGTACCAAGAGTGATAAATTGTTTCAGTCAAGCGAATTTGAATTATTGGAAAAACCAATTCTATTGGAAATTCTCGAAAGAGATGATTTTTTTGTTGATGAAATCGATGTTTGGGAAAATCTTCTCAAATGGGGATTAGCAAAACATTCAGAAATCAGCAATATCAATGTTGAAGATTGGTCATCGCAAAATTTTATTGATTTAGAAACCACATTAAAAGGATTTGTTTCTTTGATCAGGTTTCAGGAAATTTGCAATGAGGATTTTTTTAATAAAATTGTACCATATCAAAAACTTTTCCATAAAACTTTATGGAATGACCTTTTACACTATTATATAGTTCCTAAAAGCGAGTCATCTTTAAATTTATCACCACCAAGAATTCTAAAACTTGGCTCGTTAATAAATGATCAGAAGCTTATTTTACTATTTGCAAGCTGGATCGATAGAAAGAGCACGTCATATAGTTTAATCAGTGAAGTTAATTACAAATTTAGGCTCATATATCGGAGTAGTCGAGATGGTTTAAAGAGAATTGCGTTTCGTCATAAATGTGACGATACCAATCGAACTCTTGTAGTCGCTAGATTAAAAAGTTCAGAACAAATAGTTGGTGGTTACAATCCGCTTGATTGGAACGGAAGCGGTATATACAAAAGTACAGATGAAAGTTTTATATTTAATATAGATAGAAACGATATCACTACAGCACAATTTAGTTATGTGGCTAATGATGATTATAACCATGCAATTAAATGTAGTTCTTCTAATCTACCTGCTTTTGGCCTGGGTTGTGATATTTGCTTTCGTACAGATGGCAAAGTTCATAGTAGATTAAAGACTTATAATGATATCAACATAATACATGGCAGTGAATTTAACGAATTAGAAGTCTTTGAAGTGATTGATAAAAATTAAAAAAAATCAAAATATACTTTATTATTATTATTATTATTATTATTATTATTATTATTATTATTGTTATTATTATTATTATTGTTATTATTATTCCTTATCTATAGATTTATAGATTTATATAGTAATGGAGATGTTTAATTGTATTAATAAAAAATGTCATTTTTAACGCATATAAAAAACATGTAAAATGCGACATTTTATTTAAAATAAATATCAGTTTAAAAATATGGTTTGATTTGAATCGAATCACTTTAAACCCGACTCGCTCGTTCAATTTGGTTCTTGAATTACGTGACTAATTGCATTTAATCATTTTCAATTTGGGCGAAAATGATTTTATAGAATTAAAGAATATTCTAAGAAAATATTACTCATTTATGAGATGTCTCTAATGATGAGTTTTTAAAAAAATTAACCCATGTTGAAAACTTATTTTGGAATGGTTTTTTACAATTTATTTAGATAAAAAGGCGAGCTTTTAATTTTTATAATCAAGAATTTCAAGAATTCCAAAATTTGAATCAATCGTAATCAACAAAATTATTCGTTACTTTACCTTTTGCAAACTGATTGACACCATTGTAAAGGTGTTTTTCTGGCGCTAGCTAGCACCACAGTATCCATTTCATGTCAAAACTCGAATGCAAAAAAAACACTAGCACACATGATAATGCCAACACACCATTACATTCATTTTCAAATTGTGCTACGTTATCAACGAAGCGAACAAAGTGAGCGAAGTTATGCTACGTCAACAGTCAAAAAGGTCTCACCAAAATTTATGTGATACAAAGGAGTAAAAATGTAAAACTAATTCTCAAGCACATATTGATCCAAAAATTTCATACATTCTAAATTTGTTAATTATGCAAAAATATACATAATAACTTCGCAAGAAAATTATAATAAATTGTAGCTTGGTTTTGGCGAATGTGTTGCGAAGTAGAGATATTGGAAGGATCCTGTTTCTAAATACATAAACATAGTTATAATTTTTATACCATAGTAGCGATGGTCTATTTTTGCCAAAATTAGAATGGAGAACTTTATCCATTTCATACATAATACAATTATAGACTGATCGTTGCATATTCATTCATAGATGTATTACACAAATTTTGTTTCTATTCATAATATTATTAATATTAATATTAATTCGAGTTATTCGCTTTATTTGTTCTATTCGCTCTATTCGTTTTGTTCGTTTTATTTGTTTTATTCGGCTTAACTTTCAATGTAATTAGAATACTCAAATTCATAATGAATGAAGCAAGTAATTCGAATAAACCTTATTCGAATAGAAACTTAAAGGACGTTCTATTTTTTCAATTCATATAAAAAATTCATCGACTTCACAAACTCTTTCAACGCATTCAAACTCTTATTGTTTCAGGTTTTAAACTACAACGCCTTTGTGTCTCCAGAAAAAACTCGTTCAACCGGGATACTGGTTGCTATAATAATAAGTTTATTAGATTAGAATACCAGTGACTGCCAAGTAGTTTTTGGCCTAAAGCTTCGAATGGTTCGTTCAAAGAGTAAACCGAAACCGAACCGTTCGAAGCTTTAGCTGTGTGTTGGCATTTAATACATAAGTTTGTGTGTCAGTAGTATTCATATGATTATTGAACTTATAGTTTGTTCAATTTTTTATATTTATCGGACACCTCTCAAACTTGTATATTGGTATTTACATGCTCGTAGTGTTTATTATTTTATTTTTTAATCAACTATTTGAAAATTTCTAATTCATCAGATTTACCACCATCGCTATAATAAGTTAATGGGTAACTATAAACCTTACCATTTGTAACAAAATTTACATTATGGCCTAGGTAAACTAAGAGGATAACAATGAATTGTATGTTCACAATCATTATTGATAACATAATTATATTGACATTTTTTTCTATTGCTTATATTAAAATATAAAACTTTCAGTTGAATTTTTAAATATATCACCACCTAATATATCACCATTCCAATTAAATGGATTATAATCACCAACCATTTTCTCTGAATTTTGTATTTTGCCAACTACAAGAGTTTTGTTGATATTATCACATTTTTTGATGAATTCTGTTTTCATTTAAACCACCTCTACTATTATGACTTTTTTGGATAGGTATATAATTCTTGATGGTAGTAAATTTAATGCTTGCTATCTATCAGGAAAAAAATAGTATTTCCCCATAAAGTCCTAGGAAAAGGTATACCATATGGTTTAATTTTATAAAAAAATTCTTTTTTAGAGAATTCTGAAACCTTATCAGAGAAAAAATTTTTTTAATATGTTGCTCAAATCAGCAAGATTTTGTGA